TAGTGACTTCCTTGGGTTTTCTAACTGCATTGCCCAATCTTCCTTCCGAAGAGTGGCTGGTGGGTTTGATCTACCAGACTTCTGATTAGCAGTCAAAATGCCTTAGGCACTATGCCACCAGAACTCCCATATGTATATACTACAGTAAAAATGATATTTTTTAAAAAATCCTATGAAACTGTACAATAATGCTGAATGGCAATCCAAATCTCAGTGACTTAAATTAACAGTCAGTTATTCTCATGCTTAAGAGGGTGCAGGTCAACTATGAATCATCTAATCTAAGGTGGACTCAGCTAAGCAACTCTTTTCCAACTATGCTCTTCAGGTGCATGGGCCAGTAGGAACAACTGTTCAAGCTGTGGGTCAAGTTCACTTCAATTTCATCTGTCTCTTATTCTGCAAGGGTTGTTTGGAGGACCAGGGCTATCTGACTCTTTTTTTTTTTCCCCACAAGTGGAAATGGAAGCTTCCAGAAGGGTGAACAAAAGCAAGCAATGCCTTTCACAGTTAGGTTCCAGAGTGGTGTATGGTCATGTCTGTCAACATATAATTGGCTGTAGGAAGGCACATGGCCAAGTTCAATTGTTGGTCCTGTAGGAAAGTAAATGCTTTCCATGTACATCAGCGTGTATGTAAGAAGTGAATTTTTGCTGAACCATAGTGCCACGATACTAAAATGATGTTGTAATTAGTTGCTGCTGAGCTACTTCTGCCTCATGGTGACCCCACACATGTGGAATAAATCTACTCTTTTTTTTTGGTTAATTCTTTTGAGTTTTTCTACAAAATCCATACCATTTGAAACAAAATCCATGCCATTTGAAAACAAGGACAGTTCCATTTCTTCCTTCTCAGTCTGTACACTTTTATTTCCCTTTCTTGTCCTTTTGCACTAGCTAGGACTTCCAGTACAGTGTTGAATAGGAGTGGTGAAGGAGAAATTCTCTGACTTGCTTCCTGTCTTGGGGGAAAGCATCAAGGTTCTCATCATTAAAGATGATGCTGACTGGTTTTCTCATTTGCATATTTTTGTTTTTTGTAGGTGTTCTTCATCGAGTTGAGGCAATTCCACTCTATTCCTAGTTTGCTGAAATTGTTTACTGTGAATGGATAATCAGTTTTGTCAAATGCTGCTTTTTCTGCTATAATGATATGATTTCCCTGCTTTAGTGTGTTAATATGATAAATTACTTTATTTGATTATCAAATATTGAATCAATTTTCCATATCTGGAATAAATCCTACTTGGTCATGGTGCAAAATTATTTATATATGTTGTTGGATTTGATTTGCCAGCATTTTTTTTGGATGATTTTTATTTCAATGTTCATGAGATACTTTGGTGTGTAGGGTTTTTTTTTTTTTTTTTTTTTTTCCTGTGATGCATTTCTCTGGTTTTGGTATTATAAGGTTGGCCTCATACAGTGAATTAGGAAGCATTCTCTTAGATTTTATTTGCTGAAAGACATAACAGACAATTGTTATAATTTATTGCTTAAATTTTTGGCAGAATTCACCAGTGAAACTCTCTGGGATTCATGGACATTCACGGTACTTCCTTCTTTTGAACATTTATTGTTTATTAAATAAATTTATTTCATAGAGAAATGCTTATTGCAATGATCTATTTCTTATTATGCAAATTTTGTCTTTTGAGGAATTTATTCTTTTCATCTAGGTTATCAAAATTTGGGCTTATAACTGTTTATAATATGCTTTTGTTGTCTTGTAATGTCCATGAATCAGTAGTGATAACCTCTCTTTCATATATAAGATTAGTAATTTGTGTCTTCTCTCTTTTTTTCTTGGTTAGCCTTGCTGGAAGTTTATCAATTTTACTGAATTGTACAAAGAGCAAACTTTTCATCTTGTTGATTCCATCTTTTCTATTTCATTGATTTCTGCTCAAAATTAGTATGCTTTTCCTGTTTACTTTGGATTTAATTTGTTCTTCCTTTTCAAATTTCCTATTGTTGAAGCTTAGATTATTGTTTTTAAAAAAATATATATGCATTCAGTGCTATAAATTTCCCTCTATTCATAGCTTTGGCTGCATTAAACAAATTTTAATAAGTCATATTTTCATTTTTATTTAGTTCAAAATATTTTTAATTTCTCTCAAGACTTCTTCATGGACTCATTTATCATTTAGTAGTATGTTGATTAATATCATAATATTTTAGGGTTTTAAAACTATATTTCTTTTATTGATTTCTAGGATAATTCCATTATGATTAGAGGATATACTTTATATGATTTCTATTCTTTTAAATTTGCTAAGATGTGTTTTCTGCTTCAGAATGGGTTCTATCATAGTGAATTTTCCATGGGAGCTTGAGAAGAATGTATATTCTGCTACTGCTGTTCAATAAAGTATTCTATAAATGTCAGTTAGATACAGTTGATTGATAGTGCTGTTCTGTTCAACTATATCTTTACTGATTTTCTTCTTACTGCGTTTGTCAATTACTGATGAAGTATCCAATTATTATAATAGAGTCTTCCCTTGCTCCTTGCAATTAAATCAGTTTCTGTCTCAGATATTTTTATACCTATTATTAGAGCATAATCATATAGAATTGTTTTGTTCTTTTTCATATCAGATAATTTTCCTTAATCTGAAGTTTGCTTTGCTTGAAACGAATATAACTACTTCAGCTTTCTTTTGATTAGTGTGAGCATCACAAATTTTATCTCATCCCTTTATGTTTTTTGAGTTTTTATATAAGAGAATTCTTTTAATCAATCTATATTTGAGGCTTTTTTTTTCATACACTGACATTCTGTTTTCCAGTTGCTGTATTTAGGTCATTCACATTTAAAATTATCATTGATACAGGTTTCTCTTTGTTGCCCTTGTATTTACTTCCTTTTCTGTTTTTTACTCCTTTTTTTTTTTTTTTTTTGCCATCTCTGGTTTTAATTGAGCATTTCTACAATTAAATTCATTAGCATATTGATTACACATCTTTTTAAAACTTTAAAAATAATTTCCCTAGAATTTGCAATATACATTTTAAACTCATCTCAGTCCTCAATGAATTGAATTGACACAGTGGCTGCAATGATGGGTTCAGGTATTGCAAGGATTGTGAGGCTGGCACAGGACAGGGCAGTGTTTTGTTCTGTTGTCCACAGGGTCACTGTGAGTCAGCGCCGACTTGATGTCACCTAACAACAATAAAAAAGGCATTGTTGTTGTTATTTGCCATAGAGTCGGCCCCGACTCCTAGCGACCCCTCCTTGGGTTTCCGAGGCAGTTATCACTACGGAAGTAGGATTGCCCAACCTTCCTTCAGAGGAGTGATATGAAAAAGACTTATATAAGGAATGCTGATATAATTTTCAGGGCAAAGCACAAAATTAAAGCAGCCACAACTTCAAATATTATTTACAATTTAAGATAGCAGCAGCAGTGCATTAAACTCATCTAAGCACAACTGGTCATATATTCATGAAGCCAGCGCTGACTTATATATACATTTATCTGAGTTTTAACCATAAATCAAAAACAAACGAAAAACCAAATGCACTACCAAAAAGTAGATTCTGACTCATAGTGACTGTGGAGTTAAAGCTATGTATCAACCTGGCTGGGCCTGGTTTTGAGTGGCTGAACAGCTGGATAAAATTATTCCCCATGATGAGACCGGTAATCAACTCCATAGTAGAATCGACTGTGAGCAACTGAGCAGTTGCCTTAGGGGTGTGGTCTGCTTCCAGTATATAAGAAGAGGCTTTGAGAAAAGTCTTGAGCATTTTGGCACACTTGAACCCCACATGTAGTTGAGTCTTGTTTCAGTAGCCTGCCATGTTGCCTGCTGGTCTTAGGACTGTCTCTGGACTTTTCTAGTGGCCTGCCATGTGGCTTAATAATCTTGGGACTGTGCCATTTTATTTGTCAACCTTGGGCTTGTCAGCCTCAGAGCAGCCAGCAGCTGCCTGAGTTAAGAAAAGCCTGCAGTTTTGGTGGTCTGGAAGCAAGAGGCAGAGCTGAATCCCAAGATCAAGGAAGCCCCTAGGTCTGGCACTTTTAAGTCAGACTTCTAGCATCCTGAACTGTAAAAGAATAAATCCCTGTTTGTTAAAGCCAACATTTGTGGTATGTGTTATAGCAGCACTAGAGAACCAAAACAGCAACCCTTTAGAACAGAGTAGAACTGACCCAGAGGGTTTCCAAGGCTATTATTGATCTTTACTGAAGCAGACTGCCTCATTTTTCTCACACACAGCAGCTGGTGGTTTTGAACCACCAACGTTTTGGTTAGCAGTAGAATATTTTAACCATTACAGTACCAGAGCTCCTTTAACCATGAATTATATATTAGAAAGAGGAACAAAATAAGTTCCTAGGGAGTTTAATTTGGCAGATTATGAAATATCTATAAAATATAATAATATGCAATCATTATCTTCTATGTTAGAAGATTCTTAATCATGATTGCTAGTTTTCACAATACAGTGTTCTGTGGAATGCCTAGTAGGCTTAGGCAATGGGATGAAGGCTATACATGATAATGGTGAGAGATGAAGGGAGAAAGCTTGTGAAGGGTCTTTCCTGGATACAATAAGATGGTTGAATTTACTCTTTTGACCATGGTAAATCATGTTGTTTGATAGCAGAATAATAATATGTTCAAATCTATACTTTAGAAACGAAATTCTGATGAATGGTGTAAGATGTTCTAATACTCTAATACAGAAGAAGAGAACTCAAAGAATGGGATACTTGTTTCCTTTTTTAGAATCTGTGCCTATTGCCCTCTTTTTCTTTCCATTGTCCATGGACCCAATTTTCTCACAGATCTTACACAGTGCCCCTTTCCTTGAAGTTTAGTTGGAAAAATAAATATCATTTTTGCCAGTTTGGTTGTACCTGTCATCTTCCAAAATTGTCAGCTTAAATTGTTAATCTCTGAAAATTTTGAGTAAGTCTTGTTATAGTTTGCTACAATTTATGTTTTCTATTTGTTTATTTCCTTTCTTTGTTTTTTTAGTGTGCTCGTTATGATAATGCCTTCATCACAGAGGTCTTGATTGACAGAGGGGTGAACGTAAACCAGCAGGATGAAGATTTTTGGACACCAATGCACATTGCCTGTGCATGTGATAACCCTGATATTGTTCTGCTGCTTATATTAGTAAGTAAATAAATTCAGCCTACTTACTATTTAAATATTTCATGATGTATGTTATGGAATGAATTGTGTCTCCCCAAATGTGTTGTAAATCCTAACTTCTATGCCTGTGGTTATAATCCCATTTGGGAATGGGTTGTCTTTGTTAAACTAATGAGAAAAGATTAGTGTGAGTGTATCTTAAATCAATACCTTTTGAAATATAGAAGATATTAAACAAGCATATTACTGAGCAGAGATAGAGGAAGAGCGATGCCAAGCCACAGAAAGATCACTCAGAAGCAGAACTTCAAAGACATAAGGACCTTTCTCCAAAGCTGACAGAGAGAGGAAGGTATCTTCCCCTAGAACCAGCACCCAGAATTGAGATTTCTAGCCTCTTAAACTGTAAGGAAATAAATTTGTTAAAGGCACCTATTTGTGGTATTTCTGTTATAGCAGCATTACATAACTGTTGTTATTACTGTTGTTATGTGCCGTTGATTTGGACCTGTCTCATAGTGACCTCTCCTTGGGTTTCCGAGACGGTATCACTACAGAAGTAGATTTCCCAACCTTCCTTCCAAGGAGTGGCTGGTGGGTTTGAACCTCCTGCCTTCTAGTTATCAGTCAAATATCTTAGGCACTACACAACCAGAACTTATAT